TTCCTGGGAGACTACTGGACAAATCCAACTGTTCCTAATTAATTTTAACTATGGCAACCCCTCCCAAATACTGAACATTCCAAACCATTTTTGAGAACAGTTAGAGATTTCCTGAGTATACTGGATTATAATTACAGGCAACAAGAAAAAGAAAAATATCATTAATGTGCCTTTCCCATAATAGGAACTCAAGTATCTATCATGTTGACTAAAATATTCCTTCTCTGGTTCTCAAAACACATTGTAATGCTCAGCCCTGTGCATCTGCAGTTATGAATGTTAGACCACTAGGGTGATATGTTTATTATCAAATATTATGTTTTTTCAATAAAGTTTTTTAAAAAAAAACCAGAAACTAAAATTGTAGAAAACTTTCTCCTCCAATTTCCAAGTTTTCTGAAATGCAGTTATACTGCACATGCAACTCTGAAAAAAGCATTAATATCTGGGAGGTTGAGACAAGAGTATTTCAAAATTGATGCCAGCTATATAAGGAAACCCTGTCTCAAAACAAATGAATAAACAATAAAAAAATATTTATACCATTTATTGTTTTGGATTATATGCTGGAATTTCTTTAGACCCAATTAATAGCTTTTTAAAAATTATACCAAGCCTCTAGTACACTAGGAAGTGTAACAGCTTTTTAGTTCTACAGAGCTTAAGTTTAAAATCTTAGATCTAGTTAGGTGCCGGTGGCTCACAACTGTAATACTAGCTATTCAGGCGGCTGAGATCTAAGGAGCACAGTTCAAAGCCTGCCGGGGGCAGCAAAGTCCATGAGACTCTGATCTCCAATTAACCACCAGAAAACCTGAAGTGGGTACTGTGGCTCAAAGTGGTAGAGCATTAACCTTGAGCTGAAGAGCTAAGGGACAGCGCACAGGCCCAGAGTTCAACCCCCATGACTGACAAGAAAAAAAAACAAAAAACATTTACTCGCCTGTGTAAATTATTACTTCTATTTGTAAAATCGACTGATTAACTAAAATTCCTGACAAATAGTAACAAGCAAAGAGAAGCTAACAATAGCATTATTAGGAATCTGGACATTATAGGAAGAAATAAAACAGAAAAGTTAAAAAAGAAAATAACATATGCCTTTTTTGCAAGCTGTAGCTATAAGCAAGTATCAAGATCTTTCCCATTCAAATTTCACTATAACTAGAAAAAAAGAAAAGAACATCATGAACTAACCTGAACTTAAAAAACACTGACATTGGGCTGGGAAGGTGGCTCAGTGGTAGAGCGCTTGCCTTGCATGCATGAGGCCATGGGTTCGATTCCTTAGCACCACATAAGCAAAAAAGAAAAAAGCCAGAAGTGGTGCTGTGGCTCAGGTGGTAGAGCGCTAGCCTTGAGCTGAAGAGCTGAGGGACAGCGCCCAGGCCCAGAGTTCAGGCCCCACGACTGGACCCAAAAAAAAAAAAAAAAAAAAAAAACACTGACATTATCCAGCACTAAATTTACCTTGAGAAAGTCCAAAAGTCATAGGATATGATCTATAAAATAGAATGTTAAATTGGAAAGATATTCTGATTAGGTAATTCAAACTCCCCTATTAGAAGTTCTATGTTTTTGTCCCCAAAGTCCAAAAAAGTGTTATTGTTTGCTCATTAGTACATCCTTGATAACATGAATAATTCTTATCACATAACGAATGCTCAATAAATATCGGTTGAGTAAATTTAAAGTTAAGAAACCTGGGAATTGGGGCTAGGAATGTGGCTTAGTGGTAGAATGCTTGACTAGCATGCATGGAGCCTTGGGTTTGATTCCTCAGCACCACATAAACAAAAAAAGCCGGAAATGGTGCTATGTCTCAAGTGGTAGAGTGCTAGCCGTGGGTAAAAAAGAAGCTCAGGGACAGTGCTCAGACCCTAAGTTCAAGCCCCAGGACTGGCAAAAAAAAAAAAAAAAGGAAAACTGAGAACTGGAGACTTTACTTCATTCTATACCTATTATAAAACTGGGATTGAGGGCTGGGAAGGTGACTCCATGGTAGAGTGCTTGCCTTGTATGCATGAGACCCTGGGTTCGATTTCTCAGCACCACATTAAGCAGAAAAGGCCAGAAGTAGCACTGGGGTTCAAGTGGTAGAGTGCTAGCCTTGAGCTGAAGAGCTGAGGGACAGTGCCTAGGCCCAGAGTTCAGGCCCCACAACTGATTAAATAAATAAATAAAATTTAAAAATTGGAATTGGGATTGGAATTTAATTAATCTAGTATTCTATAATTTCAATCATTTATTTGGGTGATAGGAAAGTAAGACAATTAATTGGCAGGCAGAGAAGAGGATGGCATAAATTAAAACATCTTTTAAATATACCTCTTAAAATGACAGTTTTGTTTAATTGGCAAAAGCCAAAAAATTGTAAAGACAATCTCAGAACAGTGCCTTGAACCTAACAGGTATAAGATTTCCCTTGCTGGGGGCACTGTGGCACAGGTACTTGGAAGAGGCAAGAGGATAACCTAAGCCCAAGGGTTCCAAGGAAAACATAGCTAGATCACCACTGCCAATGCCCCACATCCCTCCCCATCCCTTAGAAGAAAAAAAAAGTCCCTACTCTCAAAGGTCTCTCACTTAAGTAGGTCTAAATCTAAGTGTGAGTGTGTGTGTATGTGTGTTGAAAAAGTGGGAGGAGAAATAGAAAGTGACATAAAAACCAATAATGAATGTAATACTGAGCTGAGCTGTTATCTGAGTTTATTGGGCTCAAGAAGGTAAAAAAAACTAAAGTTAATTTATTTTTTAAAAAATTAAAACTAAATTTAAAAACCACAAATTTACATTTTGAAAGAAGGAATACATTAGGAATCATTAACAATTAGGTTCTTTTCTCCTATGGCACTACACTACAATCTCATGGCCTCTTAAAGTCAAAACATTCTTAATTTACTTATTTGAATTTTCAATACAAATTAATATAGAACCTTCTCTCAAACAACACTACTTCCTTACTGATACACTATTTACTCTAGATACATGTTAATAACCTAAACATATAACCACCAAATATACATAATTTAAGTGACTATAAAATAGAACCTGAAGTAAATCTCCAAAGAATGAATGAAAATAAACAGAAACTTAAAACACAGTATTACCTAGGGAGAAAAAAAAAAGTAGGCCTACAACTGAGAGGAAATTCTACAGAAGTCTTCAAGAGAACAAAATCTTTTGGAGGGGAAACCTGCCAGAATTAGCCAACAGAGCCAGAAACAGCAGCCTGCCAACAGGGATTTTCTTTAAGGAGAATCACTATAGCTAGACTCACAGAAAGTGAACACCCAAAAGTCATTATTTCCATTACTCAAATTTGAGTTTCAGAAGAACCCTTCCAAATAGATTGACGACTATGTTAAACCCTCATATATGCCATGTTATCTGATGGCAGAAACAATATAATCAGGCTAGGAATGTAGCTTAGTGGTAGAGTGCTTGTCTAGCATGTATGAAGCCCTGGGTCTAACTCCTCAGCACCAGAAAAGGCTGGAAGTGGTGCTGTGGCTCAAGTGGTATGATGCTAGCCTGGAGCAAAAGAAGCTCAGGGGCAGTGCCAGGCCCTGAGTTCAAGCCCCAGAACTGGCAAAAAAAGAAAGAAAGAAAGAGAGAGAGAGAAAGAAAGAAAATATCATCAATATCAAATAAGTTTTGAGAATAAACTTCACTTATGATAGAATTTCTGCAAGCTGAATCAGTTAGGGGACCTGGGTCATGGATAGACAGATAAACAGACAGATATAGAGATATGTGCACCTGTGTACACATACAGAAAAAGTACATATACATGGAGAAAAGGCTTCTTTTGCTGGGAAAATGACTTTTCATGCCAAAATGATGCCCAAATGCATGTCCCACTCCAATGGGACCCTTAGTCCAAAATCATCCAACAAATTTAGTCCTAGGGGAGAGGGAGATATTACAAAGCAGGAAGGCTGAAGTGGGCCCGGGTCAAGGGGTACAGGGCCATCCGCCGTGCAGCTAACAAGCTCAGACCTGGAGGCTGGAATGAGGGACGTGGGAGGAACTGGCCAGATGTGTGGCACCTCATCATCCCAGACATAGTGGAGAGCCCACGACGAGGCTTTCCAGCTGAGAGTGGGAGGAAGCGGGCTCACAGAGGGAAAGTTTAGGACTTTTCTGGGAGGCACCAGAACTGGGCTCTAAAGGAAGCAAAAGGGCAAGAGGAAAGAACTTGAGAAGCTTTTGGCGGGGATTCTCCGAGGACCAACTGATCACCCCTGGACGTTCCCAGCACCAAGCCTCGCCAGACGGCCGCACCTGCTGAAAGATGCGTCCCTGAGATCCGCTGGGACAGCGACTAGGCGAGAGCCCCTCCCTGGGTGGAAGAAGAGTTGAGTTGGGAAAAATCTGAATGGAGGAGAGTCTGACCCCGAAGTGAACCCGAGCGAGCGGGGAAGCCAAGTCGCACTCTACCTGGGGAGACTTCCTTGGAAGGGAGGCTGCTGGCTCAGGGGACCCCCGGGGGAGGGAGGGCCGAAGGTCGTCGGCAGGGGGGGAAGGTCGGGGGGGGAGGGGAGCTCCCCGGACGCCTCACGACGGAAACAACCCCGTCGGGGACCCTCCCGCTCTGCCCCGGACCAGCCTCGCGCGACCCGGCGGCCAGGCTGACCCCCGCGCGAGCTCAACAGGAGCGCACCTGGCGGGCGCCGGGGCCTGGCCGGAGAAACTTCCCGGGCCGGTGAGAGGGGACGGGACGGGAGCCGGCGGGGGCCTGGGGCGTCGGGGCGCCAGGGGCTGCGGGCGGGCGGGCGGCGCGGGGCGGGGCCGGGCCGGGCGGCCGCGGCGCCGGAGCTCCGGCCCGGGCCCGCAGTCACACACTCCCCGGTCCGCCCGCTCCCTCGCTCGGGCACGCCGGCCGCCCGGCCCCGGCACGGCGACCCGGCGGGGGAGGGAGGCCGAGGGCGGCGAGGGTGGGCCCGGGGGCGGGAGGTGAGGGACACCGGCCGGCCCAGCCCGGCGGGCGGAGTTACCTGTGTCAGGGAGAGCGGGGCAGCCGCAGCCATGGTGTTTCCATCATGCACGGGAGGGGAAGGAAGGACGGGCGACCCAGGCTCCGGGCGGGGAGGAGGCGGAGGGAGCGGCCGTGGGCGAGGCCCGGCGGGAGGGCGGGCGGGCGGGCGGGCGTCTCTCCCAACTTCGACAACTTCCCTCGGCACGCCGCCCCGCCCCGCCCCGTGGGGACCCGCCCGCTCGCCGGCCGGCCCCGACAGGCCGGGGCGGAGCCTAAACCCTGGCACCGGACTTCGGGCCTCCGGACCAGAGTCTGGTCCTAGGACGCGCAGAAGAAAACCCGGCACGGATATTAAATTAAATAGGACGGGCATCGGCTCCAGATTGTCCTGGTGTACTTTTAAGGTGGTTCACCCACCTACTGTTCCGCTTCTGATTCTGGGAAAAGTAAAAGGGGTGGGGGGGAGAGGGTAGGAGGGGGCAAGGAAATTTTGCCCAAGATCCAGGTGGTTTGTGAGGACTAAATGAAATAATAATAACAAATAGTAACAGAGCTTTGTGCCAGGCTTCAGACTAGAAGCTTTACTTTTGGATTGTATGAAGGAAGGAACTGAAACAAAAAGTCTACAGATGAGGAAGTGGAGTCAAAAATAAGTTTCTTACAATTCATCCAGCTGCTTTTATATCTCGGAAATAAAGGCTTTAAAAGTCATTTCTTTTCAGAGCTGAAAGCTACATGGAAGGAAGAAGGAATATTTTCCTTGCTTGGTGCCTGGTCCTCTTTTGATTGTTCAATAAAAGCACGGGAGAGGGTTGGGGGTGTATTTTAGTGGTAGAATGTGTACAACAGACCCTGAGTTCTATCCCAAACTTCCTTCTTTCTCTAATGTATCATCTCCTTTCCAGAGCATCTCCTTCAAATCAGATTACACACTCTCCTTTTTAACCTTTCTTCTTTATCTTATAAAGTCATCCTCCTAATGATCAATGACACTTGTCTACTCCCCGAGACTAAGAGCTCCTCAGTGATAAAGACTATTATAAATATATCTGGTTTATTCTCAGATCTCATTTCCTCCCATATTAAATGTAACACAGTCTAAATACTTTCTCATGCTGCCACCCTCAATTTGAATAACCAGCCAATTACCTGAAATTTTCATCTGCAAAGGCTCTGTTTATATGTTACCTACTTCAAGAAGCCTTCTAGGAATGGGAGGGAAAAACTGGGAGAGAGCAAGAGAAGGGATGACATTGTCCAAAAAGAAATGTACTCTCAGTTGCAATGTGGCTTAGTAGTAGAGTGTTTGCTTAGCATACACGAAGCCCTGGTTTCAGTTCCTCAGGACCACATAAACAGAAAAGGCTGGAAGTGATGCTGTGAAGTTCAAGCCCCAGGACTGGCAAAAAAGAAAAAAGAAATGTACTCTTCACCTGATTAATGTAACTTTAACCCCTCTGTATATCACCTTTTTAATAACAATAAAGTATTTTCCAAGAAGACTTCTTAGAAGTCTGCACCTCACCTTGCCTCACCTCTGAGTTGCTCTGATATGATTTTTAATACTCTGCATTATTCTAAGAATTAATTGAGGATTTGTCTGTCCCTAATGGACTGTCTTTGACCAAAAAAAAAAAATTGGTTCCCTTTTATATCACAGTAAGGACATAGCCTAACCTCAATATGCATTTGCCGAAGTTGGTCTTTCTTTCTCAGTCATGATGACCTTCTAGGTAACACCCAGTTGTGGTGAGAACCATTGCTCTATCAGGCCCACACAGTTACCATTATCATGGCAGTCTCTATATGATATATTAAGAGAAACAACTGAATACAACCTAGGATACAGTTATCTGCACTTCAGTTTTTAAACTTATTTCCACCAAAGGAAAAAACTCAGAAATGCTCTTAAGAGCATTGTCAGACCCCTCTGACAAGGTCAGAGAACCAAGCTACACAGGTCATTTTGGAGCTGCCTGAAGATTCAATAGGGTTTTCCTTGGCCTCTTTTTGCTATTACTCTTTTTTTTTAAATTTCATTGTCAAGGTGATGTGCAGAGGGGTTACAGTTACATAAGTAAGGTAATGAGTACATTTCGTGTCTAACTTGTTACCCCCTTCCCTCATGCTGTTACTCTTTTTAACTCAAGGGAAGAGATACTGTTTTCAATTCTGCTTTTGTACATTTGTTAGTATAAGCACAATGGATGTTTCTGACACTTTTCTACATTATCATATGTGAGCTTCACAACAGCTCTAAAAGGAAGTACTATAATCACCACTTTACAAATGAAGTAGTTCAATGTTACAGAGGTTTTGCCCGAGGTTGTAAGGATAATAACCAAAGTAATACCATATAGTGAAATGAACAGGGCTCAGACTACAGAAACTTTCCAGTTCCATTTACTACTAGGTTGTTGTAAAATAACCAAAAGTTGTAGATATATAAATGAAGTTAAAACCACAACAACACCTGCAAGTCAACCAGCTGCTGCTGGCTGATGCTTGTCATCCCAAGCTATATGGGAAGCTAAGATTGACAAGATTTCAGGTCCTGGCCAGCTGGTGCAGAAAAGTCCTCAAGATTATGTCTCTCTCCACAGAAGCAAAGCTGGATCAAGTGATATTTGCCAGCATTGAAAGGATGCCTAAAAGTAGACTGATCATAGGTGCACTCCCAGGCTGGAAGCAAGATCCTATCCTAAAAATAACCAGTGAAGAACAAGGCTGGAAGTGTGGCTCAACAGTATCATGCCAGCTGAGCAAGCATAGGAACTGAGCTTAAATCCCTGGTGGTTCAGAAACAAATAAAACCCTGAAAAATTGCAGAGCAAATTCCTTCTACTTGTTTAAGTAAGGGCCACTGAAAGCAGATTCAGGAGGGGTTTTTTTGTTTATTTTTAATATAATCAGACCTCCAGGTCTCTTCTAGAGCACCTATAATTGATAGTAGCTTCTTTTCTCTCTCCACTCATAGGTTCTAGGTTCATTTAACAACTTGACATATATTGGGAGATGGGAACAGGCCTATAGGGAATGATGGGTTCAACTCCCAAAACAGGCCCACAGCTTCTGAGTCTGGGTTTGGGGTTTTTTTCTTTTAATGAGACATCAATGACAATTTGCAAATGTGTGTCCCAGATCTCATCAAATCACTGGGTCACATTCCAAATCTATTTTAAAAAAGTAAAATGTAGCTATTGAAAGATATGTCATGATCTACTTCATTTTAACAAGAATGAACTGCATAGAGAAGACAAAAATAACTATTTTTTTTCTAGGGCAATTTAATGTCTATGGGTCTCTGAGCCTTAGAGTCCTCCCATGTACTTGGGAATGACTATAAAAATTAAAGAGTATGCATAAATAGCTTATGAATAAGTCTGTTCTAGACTAGATATTCAATAAATGATAGCTGGAAAATCCCCTTCTTCAAAGTCAACATTTAACTCTCTACCCCTTAGGCAATCCTCCAATTACTAAACCTGATTTCCAGATAGATTCTTTACAGTGAGGTGGGGAGGGGCACTTGAACAACTGACACATGTATTCTTTTGTTTGTTGGTCGTCGGACTTGAACTCTGGGCCTGGGTGCTGTCCCTCAGCTCTTCAGCTCAAGGCAAGTGCTCTACCACTTGAGCCACAGTGCCACTTCCAGTTTTCTGGTGGTTTATTGGAGATAAGGGTCTTGCAGACTTTGCTGCCGGGCTAACTTTGAATCACGATCCTCAGAACTCAGCCTCCTGAGTTGCTAGGATTACAGGCATGAGCCACCAGCGCCCGGCAACAATGTATTCTTGAAACTGGAAAAGTAGATGCTCCCTAAAATTGTATCCCATGAATTAAATGTTGATACTAATAACCAAGTGCTGCTTTCATGTGCTTTATTTAATTGTCACAATCATCTTATAGGCTTTCTTTATTTTATTTTACAGAAGAGATATTTGCTCAAATTCATAATGACAGGGCTGGGAATCATACAAAGGTTTTTCTGATTGACTCTACTTCTCAAATAGAGTATATTGCTAGTGTCCTGCAGAAATTAATTGTCCCTATGAATACTTGGTAAAAATACATTCTTGAATGTGGAAAGCCGAAGATAAGGCTCTAGATTTATAACATTAAACCTGAGACAAGCTTAAAGAAGAAATCTTAAATCATAAGTAGTTTTGTCATCAGTTATCTCTCTACACCATTCTCCCCAATTCCCCAACCTACCCTTAAAGGAAATCACAACTATTTTTATTTCTTTGTTTTTCAACTGTCATATCAACTCTTCATGAACACTGTTACATCCATGAAGTTAGTATTTATACAGTTGAAAAATGCAGGATGAAGGGCTAGAAATGTGGCTTAGTAGTACAGTGCTTGCCCTGCATTCATGAAGCCCAGGGTTCCATTCCTCAGTACCTCATAAACAGAAAAAGCCAGAAGTGGAGCTGTGGCTCAAGTAGTAGAGTGCTAGCACTGAGCAAAAAGAAGAGACAGTGTCCAGGCCCTGTGTTCATGCTCCAGGACTGGCAGAAAGAAAGAAGAAGAAAAGAAAGAAAAAGAAAAGAGAGACAGAGAGAGAGGACAGAAAGAAATACAAGATGATTGATTAAACTCTGGGAAGAGAGAGCTGTGAGGAACTCTGAATATACAAAGAACCACTTTATTTCCATGATTCTTTGAGAAGGACTTTCCACACAAGTTATGCTAAGCTTTAAAAAATAAATCGTACTACAATTGTAATAGTAATCCAGAACTCACGCTTCTAAGCTGCTGGTTCATAAATATAGCCCATCATTGTTCATTTTTGCCCAGAGCAGAAAGAATAAGTGAGGCTACACAATAATAACAATTGTGCTACACAAATAACTGTCCTGTGCCAGGATCTGAGCCATGAAAAGAACAAGCAGTAAAAGACTTTAAATGCCACATACACCCAGGGTGTGATGGATAGTTCAAAGTTGTCATCATCAACCAATGTTTCAGTGCCAGGGAATGTCCTAGAAGCAGACTGAATTTAGAACTGAAGAGATCCAACTTGGGCCATTCTTGATTCACAACTTCTTTTTTTGAAACTATGGACAAATCAGTAAACTATACTAGCCCTCTGTCAACTAAAGGTAATCATAGCACT